CTCATCTTCATATTCCAAGACTTTTGTTCTAAGATATACCAAATGTTCAATATTCATAGAATTAACAAAATCATGCCTTTCTATTGTATTCTTTGGTAAAATGACATCTTTTCGAAGATAATGTTTATTAAACCACTTTAATACATCATTTCCAGCTGAATCTGAAAGATGATATATTGATACAAGCTCCATAAACTCATTATGTGCAATATCTGGAAAGAATGGAAAACTTTGAGATGAATTAGTTCTAGTATCAATTAAAGTTACTTGCTCTGTTTGTTTCAGAAAATACTATAATTATGACTTCTAGCTTTGGATACTTCTTCAACATCATCTGTATCACTATTATTTATATTTCTTCCATCATACATATCATTTTTATTTTTATTTTTATTTTCATGTATATCATTATCACCTTCATGTATACCATCATCTTCGCATACATCATCATCATCTTCATATATATCATCTTCTTCATCTACACCATTATCTCCTTCGCATATATCATCATCTTTATATATGAAAGCGTTTTCAGTAAAATCACATTACAGATCATATGATTTACTATGCCTCATGACTTGGTTTTACTGGAAACGTTCCCATATATCAACACCTTCTTCATATACATTATCATTTACATTAAAATTATCATCTTCCTATAGTGATAGAAAGACGTAAATTGGTTGTATAATGCGATCGACATATAAAAAAGGAATAGTGTATTTTATTGTTTTTAAGAAAATAAATATATACCGTTTCTTCAACTTTATTTTTATTAGAAATGTTTGAAATTCTGTTTAATGTTTCTCAATAGGCATGGCCTTTCGTATATTTACAGAGGGCTGCACAGCCTGAAAAAGTTCTCTCACAATCATTATATGAACAAGTAAACATTTCTGAGTTAAATTGAAACAATTGAACACTAAATTTTAAGATACAATATATGTATATTATTGTTATATATTTATTTATTATTAAATAGCTTAAATAAACTTTTTACTGGTAAGTAATTTAAATAAACTTTTTAAACTACAAATATAAACGTATAAAAATATAAAGTTTATTTTTTCATATAATACTTTTACAATGTCATTAACAAGACAATTAAAACGTGAAAGGAATAACCAAAATAACACCAATACTTCTATTTCTACCAGTAAATCCATGAAACCTTTATCTATTAAAGAAGTATTTAGTTCTATAATGATAAAAGAAGCTACCGCTCCTCAAAATTTATTTAAGGTAAAATAATTAACATAAGACATATGTTAGTAATTGTGTGATGAAGCGGTAAACATGATGAGCAATAATATGGTTATAACGCATTTTAATTATTATAGAATAAAAACACATAAGAAGACTTTAATCATTATAAAGATACACTAATCATTAATGTTCTTTTAAATTCACCCATTCCTTATATACAAATTCCCGAAGATAATGATATTATAATTTCAAAAAAAATGTGTGATTTTTTATTTTTCTAATTTTCAATACATTATTTGATGATAACAATTTTAACAGCAAATTGTAAAACAAAAAAGAGTGTTAATGACAAAGAAATATATCATCTGAAGCTCTATCAATATCCAAAGCAGCTTTCACATCAACATCAACATCTAAGGCAGCTTCTGTATTCATATCTAAAGCAGTTTCCGCATTAACATCTAAGGTAGCTTCTACTTTAACATCCAGGTCAGCTTCTACATCAACACAACGGGTATTACAATCTATAGGTGAATATTATAAATTTATTTAATTATAGTTTCCTAATCTGTATTAATAATATATCATAATAAAAGATTTAGAAGAGACTAATAATAAGCGTAAGAGGATAAATGATCTTAGT